TGGAAATAGTATTTAGGATCAAAATTAATTTAATAATTAGGTTTTTATATTAAGACGAGGAGCAGTTCACGATTGAAACACGATGAGCTTGAAGGGCACTCCCTCTATGGAATTCCTAGAGCTAGGAGGAACGGATGCAAGCTGATCTGTCTAACCTTCTGCAGAGAACAAAGCAGCAAAAATGCAAAGCTCGTTATTAGGACCTGGTGGGAAGGATTGGGATCAGGACAAGCTGGTTTTATGTGAATCGAGTGAAGGGCATTTCAGAAGAGGAAGAAATGGAGGGAATTGAGGAGGAGAAAGGGTTGGGAATCACAATCAACCATCATGAGAAAGGAAATCCATTGATCCCAGAGCTGATCATCTCTGAATGGGGGAAAAGGAAGATGAGAAAGGTTGTCCAAGAAAAGCTTGATTATGAAATGCTTGGATGGTCGATGAGTTTGAGAAATCTAGAGCTGAATTTGTAGACGCTATGGGGGGAGAATGGATCCATCTCGGTAATTGACCTTCGCAATGAATTTTTGGTAATAAGTTTTCAAGCTAAGAGGATTATAATAGGGCAATCTGTAATGGCCTTGGTTAATTGCTAATTACTATCTTGTTATAAGAGAGTGGAGAGCTAACTTCAATCTAATGACTGAAGAGTTGATAGAAGTGGTGGTTTGGGTAAGATTTTCCGATTTGCCTTTGGAATGTTACGAGGATGAAATACCACAGGTGATTAGTGATCAGATCCGGGAGATGGTTTAGAAAGAAGAGTCCTCTCGGAGGCTCACCCAAGAGTGGCTGATATTTTTAAGGCGGAGAAAGACACTTACAGGTAGAAGGGTAAGTTTTTTTTTTTTTTTTTTGGCTACAAAGAAAATTCAAGTGAATTAGGTCCCGAGGGCGCTCACCAGGTCAAAGCATATCTCCAAGCTCAGAAAACGCTCACAGAGGTACTTAGACGATCGCCCACCAATAAGGTTTTTACATTTGGTAGCAGAATTCCAACTCGCTATCTTGTGGGTTATGAGCTAACTCCTTACCAACTAGACCAACTCTTATTGGTGGTAGAAGGTTAAGGTTGAAGCTGCCAAACTATTTCTAGTTTCGTTCTGCTTTTGCTTTTTTTTTTTTTTTAGTTTCTTTTATTGCTTTGAGTTTTTCACTGTTGGGGTTTGGTTTGGCCCCCTCTTTTACCTTAAAAAACCAAAAAAAAAAAAAAAAGATAGAAAGATGGTTAGACGCGTAAAGCTCATCAATATACGATTTGTTTTTGACAAAAAGAAAAAAGAAAAATCAATGTACTCCAAAATTTTAATTACTTTATCACCAGTTATGTTACTTTTTTTATAAGATATTTTATAATAACTTCATTTTTTTTTTATCAAGAAATCTGAGGAAAACTAGATGGGGATCCAATTAATCTTGAAAAATAATAATAATATGATCACCATTTTTAAAAGATATCCCCTCTTATCTATGATGTAAGAAGTTAATTAGCTTTTCTCACATACCAATAAATAGAAGTTTAGTCATTAAATGTGTGTTAAGATGACAAAATTTTTCTATTTTATTCCTAAAACAAATGATAAATTGTCTTTAATGTAACACTTTATTTTCTCTCATTTTTTTTCTCTCTCCTATATTTAATAGGAAAAAAAAAACTTCACATTAATTATCCTAACAAATAAGAGATTTATTTCACAAATAAGTTCTTTAAATTCGTCAAAATACTTTCAGCTCTTTGAGATTTCGGTGTAATGTAATAACTTCAATTTGTAAGAAGTCTCATGTGACCTTTGCCTTTGACCGATGTTGACAGGTGCCAGTCAGTCAAAAAATGAACTGTTTTTTAAAATAATTTTTATTAAAATATTAACACTTTAATATTTACAATTCAAAGTTGCAAATTTACTTGTAACAATTTCTTATCTTTACAAATAAACATTTTGAAATAGGATAAAATTTAAGTCAAGTTGTTTATATTTACTAGGTCAATTTCATAGGTGAATTTATAAATATGTATACGCATTTTAGCAACTAGCAATAACAAAAACCAAATAGTGTTCATATCAAAATTTACAAATCCTAATTTATATAGGGTTAACATACAATTTTAATAAAAAAGTTTATCTTAAGGAGCATTGGGTATTATAAAACTTATTTTGATGCAAAAATACATGAAATAGTCAAAAGGAGACATTTGATCTCACGCCATTAACGTCTATTAGTTTACTGTAATGGGGCCTATTAAGTTAGTTTTAAGATGTATTTTAACAACAAAAATTTACATCAAAGGGATACTAGGCATCATAAAATTTATTTAGATGTAAAAATATACATAAACTTTCTAACATGAAAAAAATAGCAAAATTTATCAACTCCCATAAATACAGTTAACTTTATTTTTTTAGCTCCTATCAAACGCCATATTTTCTCTTCTCTATTCTTTTTATTTTCAAGTCCATCCATCTTCATTTCATCATAATCCATGCATACTCTCTCCGTCTCATGTCGTTTTTTTAGCCTCCCAAACTTTTTATATATATTTACCAAGACAACGTCTTTCTCTTTTAGGACAAGAGGTTTGTTGCCAGCACTTAAGTACTACCTCTCGTTCTTAGTATAGAACGCAATTAACTAATTTAAAAAGATTAAATAAATTATTTTAAAATATTATATTTATCACTTTTCTTTTAATTAATTGCTTAGCTTATAACTATATATAATCTAGTAATGCATATAAATATTTTAGAGAGATCATACAATATTTTTATAATTAAGTAATTGTTTCACTTCTTTAATTTTTTAAATTAGTCCATTATACTAAGGAGGAGAGGAATGAGGATGAGTGGAAAGAAAACGAAATATTGATAGGACATAAAAGAATGAAGTTAACTGACATTAATTAAAGTTGATGAATTTTGTTATCTTCCCTTTATAAAGTTCATGTATATTTTTATATCTAAATAAATTTTGTGGTGCCCAATGCCATTTGATAAAAAAATTTGTTGTTAAAAATGCACCATAAATATGATTTCGTGGGCCCCACTGACAAAACTAATGAATGTTGACGGTATAGTGCTAGATGCCCCTTTTAACAACTTCATGTATATTTTTGAATCCAAATAAACTTTATAGTGCCCAATGCATATTAGGATTAATTTTATTGTTAAAATTACACTTTAACTCTATATTATAATAACTAATTCAAAAGTTTACAAGTGTTCATAGGTAAATTTATAAGTGCACGTATATATTGTGACAACTAGTACTTGCTAAATAGTAAATAACAAGTATAATGGAAGAACTAAGCAATTAAATTTAAGTTTTGTCTGTGACAATATTAATACTTTAATATTTATAAGTCAATATTTTAGATTAACGAGTCAACCCTCTAAATTTACAAGTAAATTTACCTAATTTTTTGATTTCAAATTTTACAAATTGAATCAATTTAAATTTATGAACCAAACTTCAAATTTTATAACTTAGTCAGGTAAGGAATCTTAGGTTCACTTGTGAATTTAGAAGGATGATTTGTAAAATTAAGAAATTAACCTGTAAATGAATTCATAAAATTTGAGGAGCCAACACAAAATTTATGCAAATTAACTTGTAAATCGATGAGGTTGACTTGTTAATCTATGAAGTTGACCTCTAAATATTAATTTTAGAGATTTAACTGTGAATTTAAGAAATTTGACTTGTAAATTTATAATACTGGACTTGTAAATGTTAAAATTTAGTTATAAACCTGTGATGTCTGATTTATAAATATTAAAATATTAATATTTAGTTTTTTAAAATTTTTATTTGTATTGGTAAAAAAATAGCCGATAACTGGTCAATGGGTGCCGGTAGTCAATTAATGTCAATCAAGTGGAGTCTGAGGGTTATTTGTATTACTCCGGCCGGTTCAAAATATAAAATACATTATATTTTAATTTTGTCTAATTATTTAATAATTTTTTAATTTTATCCTCAACATATGCTTTTTTTTCTCTATTGATTGTATATACTCCTCCAGTTCTTAATATAAGATCCAATTCTTGAGTTGGTTTTGATCCTAAATATAAGACTCATTTATCATATTTATCAATTTTCTCTAAATTACCCCTATAGATACTCTTTCACTCATAATCAAGTAGAGGAGGGAGATGAAATATTAAAAAAGATGATTATGGTATTTTGAAAAAAATGTGTCACTTTTTTTATAATTAACTAACTTACCTAATTTCCTTAATCTAATCAAATTAGTTAAATGAGTCTTATATTAAAGACCGGAGGAATATTATATTAATTACAAAAGGCGGTTGAGAATTACATTTAGGAGACATGCACACATACTCTCTCTCTCTCATCACTTTTGCACTCCATATATAATCTATTTTATTTTCTTCTCTGTTTTTTTTTTTCATTTATTACTTCTTTCTCTCTTTATTAATTGTTTTTGGCTAATTTTTTAATAAACATATTTTCTTAGAGAAATTAATTACAATCGTTGGAAAAAAATAATTACAATCAAATCCCAAATATTTTACAAATTTATAAGATTTATTTAAAAATAAATTCTTGAAGGACTCATTCGTAATTTTCGTTACAACATAATCAAGATTAAGGAATCTTCCGTACCAAATGATTTCACTTAATTCTTTTTTTTATTAAAGAGCAAATGACGAGGGGTTCCTTACTCAGAACGTTAACACCAAGGCGTCGACTTCTTTTCTCCCCTTCCTTATGTTCTTTATTCGCCTTTTTTCTTTCTTGGCTTTTTACTGCCAGATTCCCCTTTCTTTTTATAAGTTACTGATGGTTGCTATTTCTAATTTTTCACTTTCTTCTGTCTCTATTGCTACTGATGATGCTTCATCGATTTCTGGACCAGAAAAAATAGAAGGCCTCACCCACTCTAAACTTTCCACTGACTGAAGAGTTAAAAGCTTTTAAGCAGGCAAGACGAAAGAGTGGTAGAAACGGCAAAACTGCAGTTAAAGAGTTGTCGTGAGTATTTTCTCATGTATATTCAATAGTTTATAATATTTCTGCTGCATTACTTGCTTGATGCGCTCTGAAATTGAAACATGTGAGGATTGATGAGACTGATCAACACAAGCTGTTTTCACCCCTTGTGGTGTTTGTGCAATTGATTCTCTTGTCACTATTGTTACGTGATCTTTATGTAGATACCCAAATCGAGTTCTATGGAGTCTTTGCCCTCATTTCACACAAGCACGTTGGCTTTTACCTTTGCATCATTTTCGGATGAGTAGATTAAGTCAAGGAGGAAGTTGCAAGAAGTGAAAAAGCTAATCGAATTACCAAAGCTGGAATTTCAGGAGACAAGATAAGTTCCATTGGATGAGACAAGTTAAAGAGATGGCTGTAGAATTCGTCAATGCCCTTAATGCTGCTGCAGCTGCTGAGGTATTTCTTGGTGCTCCTTTTATTTTATGAATATGTTCTTGGTGCTGTAGTCGTCAGTACTTTTTTAATTTGATTTTGTTATAAAGATTTTCCCCACTTTTGGGCGGGGGTTCTTATATTGTTCTGTGAAGAAACTCTAATTTTATGCTTCTTTCACGGTGGAATTAGTTCCTCCCTTGCTTGTAATTTGTGAAGAAACATAGATAATTATGAAAGTTGTATCTTGCTTTTCCATCTGAACTGAATGTGATACTTGAACTCTATCACTTCCTTATAGTTGGTGCTGTTGATAACTTTACAGAGTGAATGTGCTAAACTGAGGAGGCTGCTGGAGGAACAGAGAAAGCTTATGCAAAGGCTTAAAGAAGAAAAAGAAGAAGAAGCACAAATGGCCAGGAGAAAAATTGAAAGGATGAGTCAACGATTAGCCGAGGCTCAAAAAGATGTTGAGTACGCTTCGGCTAGAGCTGATGTTGCTGAGGTTTTGGCTTGTCTTGATCCCTCAGCTCAATATTATATTATACTATATTATGGGTGTCTGTGTGTCTCTGAGTGTGCGCGAGCATATCTTTTTTTTTTTGGGATAAATTTATAAGGAATCGTATTGCAGGATTCTTTCATTTCTGATTTTAAAATTTCACAATATTAAGATTAACAAGGCGGTATGCTGAATTTATTTGTGCACTACTCTTAAATTTGAGGATTCCAGCGGTACTATCTGTCATTCTACTAATCTCCTCTCCAAATGATTTAAAGTATTTATGTGGTCAGTTTTAATAAGATATTACAAGCCCTTTGAAAATTATTTAGGATAGATTAAAGTACTTAAGTGGCTACTGATTGGTATCTTTTTATGTTTGTAAGAATGAATGGGTTAAGTTGAAGAGAGAATTGCAAGAAGCTCTACAGTTTGTGGAATTGCTAAAGCCAGAAAGTAAGGAGATGACACAAAGTGTACTGAGACAGGTTGATGACAAAGAACTAGAGTTAGCGAATGCCATTAATGCTGCTTCAATTGCGGAGGTACTTGTTGTAGCTAATGTTATTTCCTTAAAATATTTATTTCAGTTTTTTGCTCCTTGAAAGATGTATTCTAATCCAGATGAACTTTGCAAAGATTTTTTTTTTTTTTTTTTAAAAAAAAGCATTTGCTCATACTCTAATTTTAGAAGCAGCAAGTGTTACGCCAAATTATCTTGCAAGTCAATGTTTAACATTTGGTCAATAATCTTGAGAAGCACTTTTCTCCGTTAAATCACTAAAAAATACCTACTCGAAATAAATATATGGTTGGTTTTTTTTTTCCTGGGTAAAATTTAAAATAACCCCCCACTGTAGCAAATTTATTTCCAATAGTCCCCATAGAAATATGAAATTTCACTGTATCCTTTTGAGGGTAAAATGAAAGGAATTTGTGAAGCAAAAAGACCTAAATAGCCCTGCTTTCACAAGAAACACTAATGAGTTTACAATAGAAGGAAGGAGATTCACAAGACATGTAAGGCATTTTACAATGCAAATAAGGTGATTCACAAGAAACATAAATTATACCCAACTAAGCTTAGGAATTAACAAGTGAACCAAGCACATCCATAGGTGGAATAAGGGATTTTACAATGCAAATAAAGTGATTCAGAAGAAAACTAAGGGTATTTACAACTGAAGTAAGGCATTTATAAGTAAAGTAAGCATTCACAAGAAATTAGGGAGTTCACAGCAGAAATAAGGCAGTTCGCAGGACACATTTGAGCTTTTACAGCACAAATAAGGTCATTCACAAGAAATATAAATTATACCCAATTAAACTTGGGCATGGACAAGTAAAATAAGAACATACACGACTGGAATAAAGGATTTTACAGTGAAAATAAGGTGTTTCACCCTCAAAAGGGTTATTTAGGTCTTTTTGCCCCAGAAATTAATTTCATTATACCGTCAAAAAGGTGCAGTGAAATTTCATATTTCTATGGGGGCTATTCGAAACAAATTTGCCACAGTGAGGGTTATTTGAATTTTCCCTATTTTCTATGTTTATGTTGTCGATTTTTTTTTTTTTTTTGGTTTTTTGGCCCTGTCTCTAATATTGCTCTATAAGCAAATACTAATTTTATGCTTCTATCAGGGTGGAAAATTTAATCCATTTGTAAATCAAAAGCAAATGCCTGTGTCTACGAAACACAAATAGTAAAAAAATAAATGAATGAATGCATTATTCTTTACTCATAGTTAGGTTTCTCCCCCAAAAATAACTTCTCCGGTCGGGGAACGGTAACCATGATATAATTATGTTGCTTGAGATTTTATAAAGGGTGATGCTGCATTTGAAAATAATTTCAATTTTAAGTTGGCTTTTGTCATATTGAGAGCTTCGAATTTTGGTTTTGACAAGATATATGAAAAGATGAAAGTGATGTTACTCTAATATTAGTTCCTTTGATGCTTGTAAGTTGTCAATGTATATACGGCTGCTTATTTGTTGATGATTAAATTTTTTTCCCTCCATTTGAGTTGGCTGTGATGCTTTTCTGTATCACATCATTATTGTTATTTTGAACCCATTGTTAACTTTACAGAGTGAATGTGATAAACTGAGGAGAATGCTGGAAGAAGGGCGAAAACTTGTCCAAGGGCTTAAACTTGAGAAAGATGATGAGGCTCAACTGGCCAAGAGACAAATTGAAGAGCTAGGTCAAGAATTAGGTGATGCTCGAAAATACGCTGAGTACATGACTCCTAGGGCTGATGTTGCTGAGGTTTGAGTCTTGTTGATATCTTTTCTCATTTGTATTAAAATATTTATGTATCATTTTTCAGGCAAATGAGCAAAGTGACCCAATTTACAAGGAATTGTGATCATTTTGCAAAGCAAAAAAATAGGATTCTTGTGCTTTAAAATTTATGAAAACATTTATACAAACCAATTTAAATGATGAAGAATTTCAATTTGTGCATAATAGGGATATGGTAGCAAGTAGGAATTATGATTTGATTCTATGGATAGGAATTTTGTCAAATGGAGAGCTAGGACAGTGTGATTGCGTTTGGTTAGGTTGAGGTTTGAGCTTGCACAAATTTGTCGTGGAAGTCACCTCTCACTGTGCTATTTTCCCATGAGAAAGGATTGGGAGTCCATCAACAGCAAGATCATTCAGATGAGGTTCTGTATGAATCAGACTGAGTCAAAGATGTAGAACATTAAGGAAATGTTACTACGATTGTAATATTATTCTGCTACAAGGTGTTTAGGTTGTCGGTTCTCATGGGTCATAACTTCGGGGAGGATGTTTATTTTTGCTTTTGATCCTTGATGAATTGATTGCTCTAATAATAAGGTGCTTGCCATTCCAAGGAGGGGCCATTTTTGTTGCAACACATCGAATCTTTAGCTTGAAATCCAAGGGCTAATAGAAGAAATTACAAATCAAAAGAAAAAAACAAAGACAAATTTGAGAAAAGGTGAGAAGAGACTCAGGCATAAGAGAATATATATATATATATATAGAGAGAGAGAGAGAGAGAGAGAGAGAAGCTGGAATAGAGAGCAGAGAGGGATGACAAAGAAGAGATTAAAGGAGAAAAAAATAAAGGGGATGCGCAGGCTTCCCCTGAAGATTGTGGCAGAAGAAACTGAGTATAAGACAGAAGCTGTACTGAATAGAAAAACAAGGGATGCTCGTTCACACATAGCAGCTATGCGTTGGAAGACATTTCTATTCTCTCGTGTCTTCCTCCTTACCAGTTCAGTATTTAATTCATTAGTTTTTAATATGGCAAGTTGAAGCTAAGTAATATAGCTTTTACTTGTTAAAGTTCTTTACTGGTTTCTTTATGCTTCAGTTGGAAGGAACTTTTTCAGGGGCCAAGACAACGTTATGCATGTGTTTCTTTTAATTTTGTTGAGTATCTAGCTCAACCTTGAGAGGATAAGGTTAATTTTTCATTTGTCAGCCAATGGACAATGTTGATTTGGGTGGGGGAATAATGATAGGAATATAATGGAAATGGTGATCAGCTCTCGTGGCAAGAAAATATAATGTAATTGGTGCCATTTTCTGGTTAAGTCAAGGTTTGACCTGGAATGAGGTTATTATCAAGGTTACCTCTCTGTCATTGTGCTGGTTACATCATAGTAATTAGCTTTCTGCTTTGGTTTCACTTTTCTCTCTATCACTTGCTTTCATTATATTTACTGTATGAAAGCTGTTTTGTACCTCTTTCCCGATTTTTCCTTCTGTGTAATTGGTTTATGCCTGTCATTCGAATTCTACTAATGGCTGACTCTGTTCTCTAAATGGTTCTATATATTGATTAGGAGCAATCATGATGATATATTTTCTGTACTTAAAGAATTGTTTAGAATGTATCGAAGCTCTTAAATAGCTATTAATAAGTAATTTTACATTTAGACTGAATGGATTAGGGCAAAGAAAGAGTTACAAAAGGAGAAAGAGCTTCTTCAGTTGCTAAAGTCAGAATGTGATGAGATAAGACAAACTGCCATGAGGCAAGTTGAAGAGGAGCTAGTTGAGGCCCTTCGTGTTTCTGAAATTGCTTAGGCATTTCTTTTTTCTATTGTGATCAAAGGAAAGTTTTATTGCACTGCTATGAGACCAGCAATGCTATATGGTAGTGAGTGTTGGGCTTTAAAGAGACAACATAAACATAAAGTGGCGGTAGCGGAGATGAGAATGCTGAGATGGATGTGTGATCATATAAGAAAAGATAGGATTCGTAATGAACATATACACAGAAAAGTTGGAGTGGCTACTATTGATGAGAAAATGATAGAAAACTGTTTGGGATTATTTGGTCACATGCAAAGAAGGCGTTTGGATGTATCGGTAAGAAGAGTTGATCAAACAGTATAATGTCTTCTAAAAAGGAGTAGAGGAAGCCCAAAGAAAACACTTGATAAAGTTATTGAGCGAGATCTTTCAATTAACAGTATATCTAAAAATTTGGTTTTGGATAGAGCTCAATGGCATCGTGCGATCCATATAGCCGACCTCACCTAATGGGATAAGGCTTTATTGTTACATTTCTTGTTGCTGTTGTCTATTTTTATTTGCCTTTGAGTTTGTCTGCCTCTTTTAATAGTGAATGTCATCTTGTTATGCATAAACTTTTGAAGGATTTTATTGTTAATATTTCCAAAAGTTGTAACAAATAAGGACTTGAGTTTTTCATCAAAGATCAACGTTTGTGCAATTTTTTTTAATTTTTTCAAACTTTTCCAACTCTCTGAGGCTCATTAGAAAGGGGCAGTAATCAGTATTTATTCTTAGCTTTGTTTCTTAGGTGAAACCTGCTATAGTTATGTGGCTACTGACTTTATGGATTGAGGCAACGTTTGAAAATGTGATTTTTATGCTGGTGTTATGTTTTTTCTTCCAAAAAACAAAAAGCCAGTAAAATTCATAATGATATTATTCATGTCAGTTGCTTCAAGTTGGTAACTGGTGAAGAACTTTGTATAATTGTTTATTTAATTTTGTTTTTCCCATTTCGGTTTGGTGTGACAGTTTGACTGTATCACTTCCTTACCATTATTAATTCATATCAAATCTTACAGCATGAATGTGCTAAGCTGAAGAGAATGCTGGAAGAAGAGCAAAAATTTGTACAAAGGCTTAGAATTGAGAAAGATGATGAGGCGCAGCTAGCCAAGAGGCAAATTGAAGAGATTGATAAAAAATTAGCCCTTGCTCAAAAAGATGCTGAGCTAGCTCGAAAAGATGCTGATGCTGCTGAGGTACTGATTATGTTCGTATTTTCACCCTTAATTGTATAATATTTATCTATTAGATTAATTTACAATATGAACCAACTTACATGAAATTGTAAGAGTCTGAGTGATAGAAATTCAATTTATGCACAGCTTCTTAATGATTTTATCTGTCATTTGACTCTTCAAATTATTATACATTTTGATGTGAGAAATTGTTGAAAATTTTGTGTAAGAATTGTTTAGGATGATTGAAGCACTCAAATGGCTATTAATTGGAAGTTTTTGTATTCAGAACGAATGGACTAAGGTGAAGAGAGATTTGAAGAACATGGAAGAGCATGTCAAATTGATGGAGTTGCAATGTCAAGAGACAAGAGAAAGGGCTAGCAGGCCAGATGAAGAGAAGGCGCTGGAGTTAGCCAATGCCCTTAATGCTTCTGTGATAGCTGAGGTGAATTTTAGATAAATGTTCTAGAGAACGTTTTTCTAAAAAAGTATATACAAAACTGAATCATAAAGAAGCAGTTAATGTTTGATTGATACTTATTTAATTGTTTTAAAAAGTACTTTTCAATTTTTAAATCACTATAAAAGACATGCTTAAAAACCAAAAGAAGCGTACTCGTACTTCTTTTATTCTGGTTTATTCAGATGAATTTCTTCTCCTTTCTTGTTACTGGTTTATCAGAAAGTAAAAAAGTTATGATTCACTTGCAGTGGTAAATTTGATCCTTCTACAATTTAAAAGCAAGTAATTGTCTTCATAAAACATGGATAATTAAAATAAAAATAAACATGTTTTCATCTTTAGTGCTAATGGGAAACATAACCATGTGGCTGGAGATTTTAGAGTGAGACTACGTTTGAAAATAATGTGATGTTATGTTTTTTTTAATTTAAAATTTACAGATTTAGGTTTAACAAAATGTATTAGAAGATAAAATTAATAACTTCTTCACTGTATTTAATCTGTGAAGAAATGTGCATAATTATTCATCCATAAATATACTTTTTCTTTTCTTTTCTTTTCTTTTTCCTATTGAAGTTGAATTTGACACTTAAAGCTTATCGCTCCATTACCTTTCTGTTAAAGCTTTAGCTAATTTTACAGAGTGAATGTGCTAAACTTAAAAGAATGCTGATAGAGGAAGGAAAAACTGTCCAAAGGCTTATAATTGAGAAAGATGATGAGGTAGAACTAGCCAAGAGACAAATTGAAAAGATGGGTCAAGAACTAGCCTATGCTCGAAAAGAAGCTCAATATGCTCGAAATGATGCTGACATTGCCGAGGTAATAATTCTGCTTCTTCTTCCCCTATCATATTCCAGACCAAATTAACATATGAACTGACTTACATGGAGTAGTATCAGGCAATAACAAAATATAGGATTCATTTTTGTAATTTTAAAATCGTGAAAATATTCTTAGTAACAGGGACAAATGATAAGAAATTGGTAGCTCTTGCACAGTTCTTTATTTTCAGATTTCCAAGATTATTGTTACATGTTACCTAGCATTTGAATGTCACTTGTAACTGAATTCTCTTATCAAATGATTGTATATTGACATGGTGCAATTGCATAAACAGTTGTGTGCGTTCAAAGAATTGTTTAGGATGGGTATTAATTGGTTACTTCAATGCTTAGAATGAATGGGGCAAGGTGAAGAGAGAGTTGAAGGAAAAGAAAGAGCTTGTTGAACTGCTAACGTTGGAAATTCAGGAGACAAGACAAATATTAGAGGATGCTCGAAAAGAAGCTGAATATGCTCGAAATGATGCTGACATTGCTGAGGTGGTAATTCTGTTTATTTTTCCCCTCTCTAGACCAAATTAACATATGAACTGACTTACATGGAGTAGTATCAAGCGATAACAAAATATAGGATTCGTTTTTGTAATTTTAAAATCATGAAAATATTATTAGTAGCAGGGATGCATGATAAGAAATTGGTGGCTTTTGCACAGTTCCTTGCTCTCAGATTTCCAAGATTATTTTTACATGTTATCTAGTATTTGAATGCCACTTGTAACTGAATTCTCTCATCAAATGATTGTATGTATTGACATGTTGCAATTGCATAAACAGTCGTGTGTGCTGGAAGAATTGTTTAGGATGGTATTAATTGGTTATTTTGATGTTTAGAATGAATGGGGCAAGATGAAGAGAGAGTTGAAGGAAAAGGAGGAACTTGTCGAACTGCAAGAGTTGGAAATTCAGGAGATAAGACAATTATTAAAGGATGCTCGAAAAGAAGCTGAATATGCTCGAAATGATGCTGACATTTCTGAGGTACTAATTCTGTTTTTTCCCGCTATCGTATCCTAGACCAAATTAACACATGAACAGACTTACATGGGGTGGTATCACGTGATAACAAAATATAGGATTCATTTTTGTAATTTTAAAATCGTGATAATATTATTAGTAACAGAGGAATGATAAGAAATTGGTAGCTATTTTACAGTCCTTATTCTCAGATTTAGAAGATTATTGTTAATGTTAACTGGCATTTGAATGCCACCTGTAACTGAATTCTTTCTTCAAATGATTGTATGTATTGTCATGGTGCAATTGCATAAAACAGTTGTGTATATTCAAAGAATCGTTTAGGATGGGTATTAATTGGTTATGTCGATGTTTAGAATGAATGGGGCAAGGTGAAGAGAGAGTTGAAGGAAAAGGAGGAACTTGTCGAACTGCAAGCGTTGGAAATTCAGGAGACAAGAGAATTATTAAAGGATGCTCGAAAAGAAGCTGAATATGCTCGAAATGATGCTGACATTTCTGAGGTACTAATTCTGTTTTTTCCCGCTATCGTATCCTAGACCAAATTAACACATGAACAGACTTACATGGGGTGGTATCACGTGATAACAAAATATAGGATTCATTTTTGTAATTTTAAAATCGTGATAATATTATTAGTAACAGAGGAATGATAAGAAATTGGTAGCTATTTTACAGTCCCTTATTCTCAGATTTAGAAGATTATTGTTAATGTTACCTGGCATTTGAATGCCACCTGTAACTGAATTCTTTCTTCAAATGATTGTATGTGTTGTCATGGTGCAATTGCATAAAACAGTTGTGTATATTCAAAGAATCGTTTAGGATGGGTATTAATTGGTTATGTCGATGTTTAGAATGAATGGGGCAAGGTGAAGAGAGAGTTGAAGGAAAAGGAGGAACTTGTCGAACTGCAAGCGTTGGAAATTCAGGAGACAAGAGAATTATTAAAGGATGCTCGAAAAGAAGCTGAATATGCTCGAAATGATGCTGACATTTCTGAGGTACTAATTCTGTTTTTTCCCGCTATCGTATCCTAGACCAAATTAACACATGAACAGACTTACATGGGGTGGTATCACGTGATAACAAAATATAGGATTCATTTTTGTAATTTTAAAATCGTGATAATATTATTAGTAACAGAGGAATGATAAGAAATTGGTAGCTATTTTACAGTCCCTTATTCTCAGATTTAGAAGATTATTGTTAATGTTAACTGGCATTTGAATGCCACCTGTAACTGAATTCTTTCTTCAAATGATTGTATGTATTGTCATGGTGCAATTGCATAAAACAGTTGTGTATATTCAAAGAATCGTTTAGGATGGGTATTAATTGGTTATGTCGATGTTTAGAATGAATGGGGCAAGGTGAAGAGAGAGTTGAAGGAAAAGGAGGAACTTGTCGAACTGCAAGCGTTGGAAATTCAGGAGACAAGAGAATTATTAAAGGATGCTCGAAAAGAAGCTGAATATGCTCGAAATGATGCTGACATTTCTGAGGTACTAATTCTGTTTTTTCCGGCTATCATATCCTAGACCAAATTAACATATGAACAGACTTACATGGGGTGGTATCATGCGATAACAAAATATAGGATTCATTTTTGTAATTTTAAAATCGTGATAATATTATTAGTAAGAGGGACGAATGATAAGAAATTGGTAGCTTTTGTACCGGTTCCTTATTCTCAGATTTCCAAGATTATTGTTTCATGTTACCTAGTATTTGATCACCATTAACTGAATTCTCTCGTCAAATGACTGCATGTATTGACATGGTGCAATTGCATAAAACAGTTGTGTATATTCAAAGAATCGTTTAGGATGGGTATTAATTGGTTACGTTGATGTTTAGAATGAATGGGGCAAGGTGAAGAGAGAGTTGAAGGAAAAGGAAGAACTTGTCGAACTGCAAGAGTTGGAAATTCAGGAGATAAGACAATTATTAAAGGATGCTCGAAAAGAAGCTGAATATGCGCAAAATGACGCTGACGTTGCTGAGGTACTAATTCTGTTTTTCCCCTATCGTATTCTAGACCAAATTAAGATATGAACAGACTTACATGGAGTGGTATCATGTGATAACAAAATAAAGGATTCATTTTTGTAATTTTAAAATCATGATAGTATTATTAGTAACAGGGAGGAATGATAAGAAATTGGTAGCTACTTTACAGTTCCTTATTCTCAGATTTAGAAGATTATTGTTACATGTTACCTAGCATTTGAATGCCACCTGTAACTGAATTCTTTCTTCAAATGATTGTATGTATTGACATGTTGCAATTGCATAAAAAAGTTGTGTATATTCAAAGAATCGTTTAGGATGGGTAATAATTGGTTATTTTGATGTTTAGAATGAATGGGGCAAGGTGAAGAGAGAGTTGAAGGAAAAGGAAGAGCTTGTCGAGCTGCTAAAGTTGGAAATTCAGGAGATAAGTCAAATGTTAGAGGATGCTCGAAAAGAAGCTGAATATTCTCGTAATGATGCTGACATTGCTGAGGTAGTAATTCTGTTTACTTTTCCCCTATCGTATTCCAGACCAACTTAACATATGAAATGACTTACATGGAGTAGTATCATCCGTTAAGAAAATGTACGATTCATTTTTGTAATTTTAAAATCGTGAAAATATTGTTAGTAACAGGGATGAATGATAAGAAATTGGTAGCTTTTGTATAGTTCCTTATCCTCAGATTTCTAAGATTATTGTTACATGTTACCTAGTATTTGAAAACGAATTGTAGCTGAATTCTCTCGTTAAATGATTGCATGTATTGTTGTGGTGCAATTGCTTAAACAGCTGTGTGCCCTCAAAGAATTGTGTAGGATGGGTATTAATTAGTTACTTCGATGTTTAGAATGAATGGGGCAAGGTGAAGAGAGAGTTGGAGGTAAAGGAAGATCTTGTTGAGCTGCTAAAGTTTGAAATTCGGGAGATAAGACAAATATTAGAGGATGCTCGAAAAGAAGCTGAATATGCCCGAAATGATGCTGACAATGCTGAGGTACTAATTCTGTTTATTTTTCCCCATCATATTCTAGACCAAATTAACATATGAACTGACTTACTTGGAGTATCATCATGCGATGACAAAGTAAAGGATTCATTCTTGTAATTTTTAAAATCGTGCAAGTATTACTCGTAGCAGGGACGAATGATAAGAAATTGGTAGCTTTTGCAGAGTTCCTTATTCTCAGATTTCCAAGATTATTGTTACATGTTACCTAGCATTTGAATGCCACTGGTAACTGAATTCTCTCGTTAAATGATTGCATGTATTGTTGTGGTGCAATTGCTTAAACAGCTGTGTGCCCTCAAAGAATTGTGTAGGATGGGTATTAATTAGTTACTTCGATGTTTAGAATGAATGGGGCAAGGTGAAGAGAGAGTTGGAGGTAAAGGAAGATCTTGTTGAGCTGCTAAAGTTTGAAATTCGGGAGATAAGACAAATATTAGAGGATGCTCGAAAAGAAGCTGAATATGCCCGAAATGATGCTGACAATGCTGAGGTACTAATTCTGTTTATTTTTCCCCATCATATTCTAGACCAAATTAACATATGAACTGACTTACTTGGAGTATCATCATGCGATGACAAAGTAAAGGATTCATTCTTGTAATTTTTAAAATCGTGCAAGTATTACTCGTAGCAGGGACGAATGATAAGAAATTGGTAGCTTTTGCAGAGTTCCTTATTCTCAGATTTCCAAGATTATTGTTACATGTTACCTAGTATTTGAATGCCACTGGTAACTGAATTCTCTCTTCAAATGATTGTATGTATTGACATGATGCAATTGCATAAACGGTTGTGTGCGCTCAAAGAACTGTTTACGATGGGTATTAATTGGTTTCTTCGATGTGTAGAATGAATGGGGCAAGGTGAAGAGAGAGTTGAAGGAAAAGGAAGAGCTTATCGAACTGCTAAAGTTGGAAATTCAGGAGGGAAGACAAATATTAGAGAATGCTCGAAGAGAAGCCGAGCATGCTCAAAATGATGTTGACATTGCTCAGGTGACGACAACTTTGGTTCCTCAGACCCCCCCGCCCCAAAAAAATAAATAAATAAAACACACACACACACACAGGCACAAATATTTTAGACAAACTGAGATTATGAACTCATTTATTTTGAATTTATAACTCTAAATGGTGACAATATTATCACTGACCTGGCTGGATGATAATAGATTTTTGTTTTTGTGCTGCCCTTGAAAGTCAAGATTAAGGTTTCCTCATATTTGGCTTCCAGACTTGCCGCCTCACCTGATGATTTTTAGTATTGATAAAGCAGTTATAACAATATATTATGTGCACATAAAGAATATTTTAGGATGGATTGAAGGATCTCAGTGACCATTGATTTGTAACATTTTATGTTTAGAACGAATGGATTAAAGCCAAGAAAGATTTGCAAGAAAAGCTTGAGCTGATACGGTTGCTAAAGCTGGACTGTCAGGAGACTAGAGAAAGTGCGAAGAGACAGGTTGAAGAAAAAGAACTAGAGTTAGCTGATGCCCTTAATGCTGCCACTGCTGCACCATCGAGTTCTGCTGCTGCCCAGGTATTTAAATTTTTTTTAAAAAAAAAAATTGTTAAACAGATCCTTTTTACAAAGACTAAACTGATCATCCATCATCATATAAGTATGCCAGTTAAGTCAATGAAATCCACCTGTCATGCTTACGTGTTTATTCATGATCAGGTTAATATGCATAAATTTTAGATTGTGAATCTCCCTAATAACTTCACTTCTTATCCTAATCTACTCCTCAGGCAAGACACTTCTTGAGAAGGAAATCAAATCTTCAGATGATTATGAATATTTTGCTTCTAATGTGTATTATTTCTTTCCCCTCTATGTGCGGGCATTGCTTATTTATAAGTTTCTTGCTTCTTAATTGAAAGTTGAGAGAAGCGTCTTTCTGATTGGTTTGAGGTAACTCATGCTACTTGTGTTTAACATTTACAACTTTTGAACAAGGATGAAATGATGAAATTCAACGTGCCAGTGAACAGAATTTAGATGTAATTTTGAAGCTTTTTTGAAGTTTCTACCTTAAGGTTCTTGTTTTAAAATTTACAACTCAAACATGTATGATTCTATTATAAAAAATGGTTATGTACATGCTATATTTGTATTGAAAAACTTGATAGCAAACATTTAAAGAACTTTGCTTAAGTTATGTTTGATGCAATATGCAACTGTTGATTAAAATGAATGCTAGGAATGATTTGCATGGATCTTTATGTTCATAAATATTGTAGTAGTTATTTTGGCGAGGCAGAATTCTTTATTCTTTTTCTGAGGGCATTATCATATAATGTGAGTGAGTTTCTTCAAAGATTAATCAAATGATAAACTGCATGACAGTATGTCTTGTATGTGTAACAATGCTAAACTTGAAGAAAAACTGCATTTGCAATGATGTGCAGGAGTGTGTAATTTGTCTGACCAATGAAAAGGACATGGCCTTTGGATGTGGACACATGGTAAATAATTCTACCGGAATGGTTTCATTGCTTTTTCTCTCTGCGTAATGAGAATGATGAGTTATATATAATTCTAATGCAGACTTGTGAAGAATGTGGGACAATGCTGGACACGTGTCCTATATGTCGGGTGGAGATAACCGGTCGCATCAAACTGTATCCTGGATGACAGGGTATGTTTATGTTCAAACCAAACCTATTTTTCTCATTCACTCTACTTATTTTGCTATTCATTCTCCTTATATATCACTATTGTATCAGCAGTTTTCTTCCGAGTGTGCTTTGAAGATGACGCAATGTGGATGGACTGTGTTTTTAGTTCGGATCAGAAGGATACAAGCCAAGAGATGATAATTGTAAATAATGGAATCAGAAAGAATGAAACCTAGCAAGACTTATTTTAGCTGTGAAAAACCATCCCTAATGTAATAACCCCATGCGACTTTATTTCTTCTCCTCATATGTCTACAACCAATAGCGTCTTGAAGACTTTGGATGATCCCAAAGGAAAATGTATGTATTGTAATGGATGTTGAGTGTTCATACATGTCAAACCGGGGACGGGTAGGGTAACAAGTCTGGTTATGATGGTTGCTTTGATCGTTTCATTTGAGTGTCTCACAACATTGTACTAGCATCTCAACTGCAAAAATCAGTTAATTTGGATACCTCAGACTATTACAAGGATAAAAAGAGTTTGGGAAATTATTAGTATTTGCATCTCTAACACAAACGACCTTATTTCAGGTCAAAAGAGGGGGGGGGGCACAAACAGCCGTATGGTCTTTTCATTATATCTTTTTTACCGTGAAAATAAATACCAGAAACACGTCTCCCTGATGCGTGGATTTTACTGACAAATTAACATTTTAAGGGTATAGAATTTGGGAAGCACGGAAATGAACTGCCGCATTGCTCCTTTAGCTCTTCTGCTCCATTTGACAATCCCATGGTCTCATCCCACACCTCTTTTTCAGAACACGGAGACCATGTATGTTAATAAGCTGAGTCAATGAAGGAAATAGTTTCAGAAAGGTACGGTTAAGAGGATTGTTTCAGATATGGAAATGTTAGTGCAACCATGTCTTTGTAGGAAGGGAAAAGATAATAGAGTTAATTTTGACAACTCGAGTCAAGTGTGAATTTCCAAAACAATAAAGTGGGCGAATTGTTTCATGAAGATGATAAAACCTGGAGGAATTGTGCTTTATTCCAACTCACTGCAAAAGGAAACAACCTGTGTTGAGATTGATTAAACCTCAAAATATCCCATAGCCGAGGAGAACTTTAAATTCCACGGAAGAACGCGCACGAAATCTAGACAAGGAAAAGTCCTGTCTGCATATAATCATGCAAACTCACAAAGATCCCCTTCTGTATGGAATAAAACCACATCAAAATCAAAATGCAAAGACTAATAGCATCAATTTCATACCGAGCTCCTAAACACTAGTGAGATCTTGACATACAGATACCTCATACGTATTCACACCAAATGACTATCAGACTTTATTTATTCTGCTCCTTGTCAACGCCACTGTCATTTTGCTTAGGAATAGGTTGAATTCTCTGATACGGGTTTCTGGTTAAAGTCTCACCTTTCAGAGCAGCAACATACCGGTCATTTGTATCCTCCTTCCGCTGTAGCTCTCCAAGGAATTCAGCCAGCCTTTCTTTATTTACTTGTCCCATCATCTAATTAATGAAAAGCAACCATATCGTCAAGATTTGATTTTTCAGCAGAGGAAAGAATTCATTTCGACCAAAAAAAAAAAAGTCCCAGAACATACGTTAGCAACTACTCAGCTCATTAAGTTAACCTCCCTTCAAACAGACAAAAAGTTATTTAATCTCTAGATAGATTTATCTTCTAAGACAATCCAAATCCTATATGATAGGCTATCAATGTAGTTATACAATATCCAGAGATCTACAGAGGAAAAAGAAGTATTTCAGAACAAGGACACGAAATGGTCATCAGATTCGTAGTGATAGCAATGTGATATTATGGGGAACCTTTGATCAACTGGAGAAATTCCGATATGTTGAAAGATTGGGAGATTTGTCATGTAAAAGTCAAAAATTACACCGAGCAGACCTTTGATCAATCCCCACCTTCTTGTGGAAGGTGACGGATGTAGAAAGGTTGCCATAGGATGCTATTGGTTTCTCCCTGTACTCGTGATTGATTATTGATTCAGCCTCCATTCATGAGGGGAATTACAGAAGTTGAGGTACATGATTACTTTATCCTAAAGATTGCAGTTGAAAATATCCAGTGTTTTATCCGGACAATCTGAATAAAAGAAGATAAATCAATCACAAAAGTTGATTTTGCCTTACTCTGCTCTATTTAAGAAAAATGAATTTGAGGCCTAATTTGGTGTATTTAAAGTCGAACGCAATATCATAAGCTAATACTATCTATTAAATGAGATTTGGAAAGGACTGTAGAAGCTTATTATAGTCAGGTATTCTTATACTAATATCACCTAAGCCCGTGCAACCATATCAAATCAAACACCCCAAAATACCAAGATAAGCAACAAGTTTCATACCAAGATCGAATCCTAAGCACCAGCACTTCGTGAGGCCCATACTGCTGGAGACTAAGCCAGTTGATGTTTGAGATTATAACTTATATCAGGGTACCGTTCATTGATGGTGGAGTTATAACTTATATCAGGGTTCCGTTCCCGAAGACAAATACATTTCGCAGAGTACTCACATGGGCAAGTTTCTTACGGTCTTATTTTCAAAGAGAACCTAAGGTATGACATGATTGATACATCTGCCAATTCTAAAATAGAACATTCGTATGGTTAGAGTTCAAGAAGCTCATTTTGCCCCGATAAAGCAAGCTTCCCACTGTGTATTTCAGTCTCCTTCAGGTAACCGCACAAGATTTCTGATAGAAAGCTAATACATCAAAGCACCCCTAAGCTCCAGCCGCAGCAGAATTAACTAACCTCTACAAAAACTAACTATCGAACCTAAACAGAGCTAAATAATGGAAAAGATGAATTATATCCAAATTCGTCACACTAAAGTGCCCACAAGTTCAGCATATCTTTCCCATAAAAAATCTCACCCATCGGATCATCAAATTGCAGAATTACAAATTACAAATCACAAAATAAGGATAACAGCCCACAGATTAACCATGATTTCTCGGGAAACAAACGGATAATAAGGAAAAGAAGAGGTACCGTGGTTTCGGGGCGAGCATTTTTGCGAAGATGGGCCTCAAGCTGTTCGTTGCGGGTGTTGGTGAGCTGCATGACGCCATAGCCAATGACTCCCGGAACGACGCCGCATACGGTGGCGAAAGCAAGGAAGAAGGGCTTGGAGTCTCTGGTCCTCCGCACAAGCCATCTCCAACTCGCGCTCTTCTCCCACAGGATCGACATCTCTCACTCAACCTCTTCACCTCCTCCCACCGCCTCCTTTTCTCCAGGTCGCTTTTTGGCCGAAAAACAAAAAAGGTTTAAAATTGGGAGAATTGCAATTAGGTCCCATTCAAGGGAATTAAATGCAAAAAAGTCCCTTGAAATCATGAAATTATTCTAAAGTCCCAAGGGACCTTTTTGTAATAAATTTTATTTGTTTAATTACCAAATTACCCTTCTTCTTTTTAAAAAAATTTGTATTGACAACTGAAAGAGCAGTGGTTGACAACTCAGGGTGCAAGGATTGACAACTATCGCGGCTGGTTTGACAACATATTTTCTCAGCATATCACACCATAAGTTGTCAAACCAGCCGCGATAGTTGTCAATCCTTGCATCCTGAATTGTCAACCACTGCTCTTTCAGTTGTCAATGCAAACTTTAAAAAAAAAAAAAAGAAGGGTAATTGGTAAGTAAACAAATAAAATTTAATGCAAAAAAAAAAATTTGGGACTTTAAAATAATTTTATGATTTCAAGAGACTTTTTTGTATTTAATTCCCTTGAGTGGGACCTAATTGCCATGTTCCCTTTAAAATTTTTATAACGATTTTGGTCGGGATGCAAAAAATTAGCTATTGGGGACAAAATTTTAGTGCAAGTTCAGATATTTAAATAAATATATTCATTGATATTTATGAATTGTACATAACAATGAAATTAGGGACAATGATTAAAAAAAAAAAAGAAACTGGAATCTTGTAAATACCAAATAAGAAATATCAATAAAAAATTTGTTATTATTTCTAAATTTAGACTTGTCAATACCAAATAAAATTGTGCTATCAAATATGATTTGGGATTTGCAATTTCTAGCTTCTTTTTCTGTCATTCTCCCATAAAATTAATTATAATTAAATATTAAATTAATTATATATAATTATAATAATAACATAAAAAAATCGTTGATGAGAAAAAACAACATAAAAACCAAAAATTATTTTTAGAAAACTGACAATGAAGATGTTATCTTTATTTTAATTATATACAATATTAAAATAATTTTAAAAAAATTAAATTTGAACTGTTGAAATTAAATCACATTAATGAGCCTTAGCTCAAATGGTATCACCCCACCTCCTCTCTTGTTGATGAGGTTATGAAGGATCTAATCCCTATTAATTAATGAAAAGTATGAGTGTATTGGATCATATTTCTGAGTACTCATGGAGTGATGAGCAAGCCCTCAAACTTGTTCTCATTGTGTATTATCTATGACTCTGTGTGCCTCTGTCTCCCAAGTTTTCAACTTCACTGTAACGACGTGAGTATGCACATCATCTAAAGCTTAAACCATTGATTTGGTGAGCACAATATCAACTATGTGTTCATTAGTTATAAGCAGGATTATATTATATTCTTGATGTTATTGGAGTGGATCGTCCACTCCAATAATGATGGAGTTCTAGAAGACAGAGAAGCATTATGCTATGCATGTGTTAGAGTGGAAGGCAAATGAGGAGGCAGGCGCACATGAAGCCACATGAATGATCACTAATGGAATGAAGAAATTAAACAAGAATAATGTGGGATCGGCTTGTCTTTTGTTGATAGGAAAACACAGTGGCAAGTGAGACAATTTTGGGGAATCTCATCCTCTTGGTCTCTTTTACCTCTATTTAATTATACTACCTCACCTCTGTTTTTTTATTTAAAAGATAAATAAATAATGTACGAATATTAAAAAATTAGTTAAGTTAATTATTTGTAATAAATATATGTTGTCTTTTCTAAAATACTTCAACTACTAGAAAATATGTCATTTTCATCTGTTCTGAAGGTCTTTTTTCATCTATTTTGGAGAAGACATCGATAAAAGAGACATAGATAGTAATTATATATTCGTCTGTTTTAAAACAGAGGAATATTGGCATTCATATATTCGTCTGTTTTAAAACAGATAAATATAGACGTGCATATTCGTCTGTTCTAGTCAGAACAGACGAATATGTATTTTTTTGAGAAAAAATAAAAATTTTCATACTACCAGTTTTATTCAGCTTGCAATTATAAAAGCATACATATAGCAAAACTAAAACTAGTCATAGCAAATAATAACAGTAATTTAGCACAACCAAATTACATGTTTTTCATATAAATAGAATCCAATCAATCCATAATTTTAAGGGTCAAAACATTTAAAATAAATAACATCCTAATTAATTAACTTAGTTAAGTAAAAACAACTAAACACCATAAGTTAGTCATATAACAGAAGAAAGTCTTAAAACCAAAAAATCTAATGACAACCTAACTTAGTTAAACAAAAAGAACAAAGCATCCAAATAAAAAATCAGTTTCAAGCTTACTTGCAATATTAATTAGGATGATTGTAATATTCAACTCAAGCTTTCCAATATAATTTGAAGCACACTTCTCTCAACACTATTTACCTACAACATAATAAAAATAAAGTTATATACATATATATGTTTAAATAGCATCTAAAGCTTTCTAAAATTCAATGTAAAGATTAAACATTAAAAATACTTAATTAACTATTACATTCTAATCAAATTGCTCTCTTAGACATTTTCACAAATACCTTATGTGCATTAAGATTTAAACAAGTTTAGCAAGCTTTTAATCATCAAAATGATACCCAATCAATGTTGAATAATTCCTAAGTGTAACTCTTACCAACAATCAATTTAAATAAAAAACATACACACCAACAAACAATTATATTAATTCCTTTCAACATTCAAAAACTCACATAAGATAAAAGACACACATCCATGCCACTTACCTTGTATTGTGAACAAGCTTAAGGTGGACGAGATTGAATGGCAACTTCCGTGGAAGAAAACGTTCCTCCTAGTCGTGTGATGACATGGATGAAGAATGGAGAAGAGAGGGAGAAAACGAATGGGAAAGAGAGAGAGAGAAGAAGAAGAAGAAGATTGCGAGCTACTAGCTAGAGAGGGAGAAGACAAACTTATTGTTAGCATCGATACTGGAAAGGAGAAGTAGAAATCTAAAGAAGGAAGAGAGAGCTCGCCGCACACGAAGAAGAAAGGAGAAGGCTTATTTCTAGAATCTGTTCAAATCTGTACACAGCAAAAGATGAAATTTGAATAAAAAAATATGCTTTTCGTTTGTTTTTAAGAGAAACCGACGAGGGGGGCTCATACTCGTCTGTTCATCATAACATACGGGTATGGGTTGCTACACTTGTCTCTTATGATGAACAGACAAGTATGGACCCCTCTACTCGTCTGTTTCTTTTTAACAAACAAGTTTAAAGGCCCACATTCTTTTGTTTTTCAAACCAGACGAAAATGAGTGATGAAAATGACCTTATTTGTAGTAGTGTCCATATGCATTTAAATTACCCTTCAATAGTAACTCTCTAACATTTGCAATCACCATAAAGATTACTTAAAGGCAAAATTAATAAATATTTGAGGCAAATTAGATCAGAATCTTATAGTTAGGATTAAATTGAATCTCCAACTAACTCTTAGATTAAAAACGGGAGATAGTATTTATATGTATTATTTTCAATTCTTAATATAAGAGCTAGTTGAAAGTTGAGTTTAGTTCCAAATATAAGATCTCAATCAACTTTGTCTCCTAAAACTATAATGTTTTATCTAAGAAAGAGTTCTAATATGCACGTAATTAAATATGATAGATTCAGAAAATCAACACATTTTGTTACAACTAAAAATTTAGTTGATTTTTTTTAATATCTCTTATGTACGGGAAGTGTTATGTATAAAGGAATGTCATAGTGGCGTCCGGTCATTCAAAACAATCTAACAAAGAGTCAGCTTGGAGAGATTATTCATATATGTATATTTTTGAAAATAGGAGTAATATTTGTGTAATTTTAACAAAACTAATGTCAGAGGTTTTGTACCTTTGCTAAAAATAAAGGATATCAAAGTCTATTTTTGTCTCTTGACTAAATGAGTTACTCGCTCATATGCGATAAAATATGTTATATTATTTAATTAAAAGACTATAACTTGTGATTAGAGACTTGTGCATATTATAAATAAGCTTACAATATCTATAAGCTAAGTAATTAGTTGTTTAATTTGTTTATTAAGTAATTAAAAGTAAATCTACCCCATGTGAGTGATAAGGCTAGAATATATAATATTGAAATTATAAAGAGATTCATGCTAATAACTGGCTCTGAATGATTACATAGTGTGCATTTTGCACTATTTCATTGTTCAAATGGATCAGTCTTGGAATCTCTTTTCCAAAATCATTAAAAGCTGTTCCTCTCCATAATTTCTCAAAGGTAATGTTAGGGAGTTATATTGTTTCAAAATAAAGATAAGTAATAAAATAAATCTTTTGGCAAAAGACTTCCACAAAACAAAACCCTTTTCTGTATTTTGTCTATGAAGAACAGGCCCAGATTCGAAGAAATCTATTTAGTTAGTAGGAAGTAACTCAGAGAGGGTTTGGAGAATATTATCTTATTAATTAAGCCTCCTTTACATTTTATTTTAAAAAAATACCCCCTCAGTTTTTAATACAAAAGATTAGTTAAATTAATTATTTGCAATATTAGAGATAATTTGAAAATAGTTATAAATTTAAGAAATGAAGTGAATTGAAATCTTATATTTAGAATTAAAATAAACCTTGTGTGATCTAACTATATATTTAACACCCGATGCATTAAAAGGTTATAAACTATGTTACTCAAAGTGTTATCGATTTAGATTTATCAATCCCAAAACAAATTATTTCCAGCTATCCCACCAGGTAACACAATCCTTTCTAATTAACAGATTACATATGTCTCGAAAGGGATAATCTTTTTCTAAAGATAGTTAAACAGCTCATTATCAGTGTTTTACAACCACATTTGTTTAATAAATTATGCTCAAACACTGAGAGAAACACTAACAGGTTAGTCAGTTATCTCAACCTTACTTGTCGGTACAACAGTATTAAAGATCATATAACAGTCAAAGATTTTGGGTTGTAATCATTAAAGTAGAGAGAGTATCTTTAGCCAAATGAAAATGATATTTTAAGGAAAGGGGCACTAAATAAGGGGAACAAAGGAAAACAGTAAAGAAAAAGTGAGTTTGGATGGCAAAGGAAAAAATTAAAAAAGAATTAAAGGAGCAACAAAGAAGAAAGAAAAAGAAGACAGATCGAGATTGTGTGTGTGGCAGGTAGATTAAATTTTTCAGATCAATGCTTGACGATGAATCATATGATAAAAGGGTTCTTTTAAATTAGCTATATGTTTACTATATTTATAATTTATCACTTTAGGTCATATTTTAACTTTGAGGTTAGTGAGCTAGCTAGAGTCTCATCATTTCATATCTTGGTCTAGTTAATTACGTCCTATTTTTCATGTTCACCAAAGTTTTATGTGCTACTACCTCCAATCCTAAATATAAAAGCTAATTGACTAATTTGAGTAAACTAAGAAAATAAATTAAATTAGTTATTTGTAATAAGTAAGTGTTGTCTTTCCTAAAATATCTTTGCTAATCAAATTTAATTTATTAGTTAGAACTACAATTATTAGAAGGAATATCTTTGAAAAAGATAAATAAATATAAAAGATAAAATGGATTGGAGTCTTATATTTAAAACCAAAATAAAAGTCAAACGAGATCTTATATTAAGGACCGGAGGTAGTATTACAAAATAATTACTAATAATTAGTGTATAATTGGTTAAATATCTGTATTGGATCATAAAGCTATATGGCAGAAGAAGCCGCAAATCTATCTTGTACAAAATCTTAGAATTAAATAATAATGTTAATGATCGATACGCAGCTTAGCAGAAAAGCAAAGCCAACAAAACTTAGTGTCTATGCTCTAATATGGACCAAAAGAAAAAATATCCACCTTTGGATATAATTTATTGGCAATGCAACGGCTTTGCAACGTGCTTAAACACTTTTATTGTGCTGCTTTATTATTTTTTCTGTTCATAGGAATATTAATTAATACATCGATTCTCTTTTACACATGGTTTAAAAACAATTTATATATTTCATTATTCTACTTAATTAATTATATGTTCCCTATTCATCTAGCACGCCTTCCACTTCTAACTCATTCATGCTCTCTCTCTCTCTCTCTCTCAAAATATATATACATATAGCAGACATGAAGCCAAAAACAAAAACAAAAATAACAAAGCAAACAAGATATATCATAATTTTATGAAAAAGTCTCATAATTGAGTAATATATTACTGACTAAAAAGCCTTGCAATATTCACTAGCTTGGTCCATTAAAAAAACTACACTCCTTCTAGTGAATGCTCTCTTTACTTTGTCTCGTATATTTGTTATTTTAATTTTTTAAACTACCTCTATTAATTACCCACATCAATTTATGCAATTAATAGAGGTTATATTTAATTTTTACAAATAATCAATTTAATTAATTTTCTTAATCTATATCATCAATTGTGTTTGGGGACGATAGGCTTGGCTTTAATATATACCATCTGTTAGGAATAATAGTTCACATATCTCGACAGATCTGTGATCGCACTTCCAAGTAATTTTGTTTAAAGTAAATGTCACATTACAATATATAATTAGTTAAAGTTTCAATCTCCACTGGGATAAATTAAATATTAAATTCAAGAGCTCCTATAATTTTCTTGATCCTAAAAATTGACAAGCCACAATTATTTCACTTGGATAGTACAGATGACGTATATTCCTTGCTTGCACTTGATGTTATACTATACGTATGAGATTCCATACCTTGTTCTCCTCCGTAAGTATTGTGTTAATAATATAAAATTAAGCATGGTATCCTGAACACCCCAAGATATCATCCCCAAAAAAAAAAACACGTTTATTTGTGTTCTTAGACACTATTATTTCAGGATTCACAATATTAGAAGATACTACTCTTCCTGTTCAAAATATAAGATAAACTTTATTTATTTACGTTAATTAAGAAATTAGTTAAAATCAATTTAAAATAATAAATATGTAATGCATTTTTTCCCCAAATTAAATGTGACTTTATTAACGTAAAAAATAAGTAAAAGATGTAATAAATAAATCAAAGAAGAAAGAGAATACATGGGGATAAAATTGAAAAAAACTTATTAAATACTTACACAAAAGAGAATGTGATCTTATAAATAAAAAAAATCAAATCCCTCCAACAAAGTTTAACTTATATTTTGAATCGGAGGGAGTATATCATAAATGCTTACCCAATGAGTAAATAAATGAGTCACTCAGTTTGGACCATGAAAAATAAATTACTTTTGGTTCTTAATATAAAACCTAGTTAATTAATTTGAAAAAACTAAAAGATTAACTAGGTTAGTTAATTGTAATAAATAGATATTGTCTTTGCTAAAATACCCTCGCTAATAATGTGTATTAGCTAAAACTATCATTTGATAGAACATTTAACATGTGCAACTACTTCAAGAATTATTGTGAAAAAATATATATAAATATGAAAGACAAAATATATTAGAATCTTATATTTAAGACCAAATTAAGAGTCAAACTAGCTCTTGTATTAAGAACAGAAGGTAATATATTTTAATTAATAGTTAAATGTTTAAATTCAATATTCTATACAAATATATATATCTCCTTCAAAAATTTAGTTAGGAACCGTCGATCTATAAATATTCTACCTTGATGGAAACAAATCTTCCTTCCTTGCCAAAAATTTGATTTGCTAGAGTGATCAGACGAGAAAGAAATGGTAAACTGCGTGTCTAGATAAAAACTAGTTTCACATGTATTGGAATCCCGCCAAAAGCCAAAAACAATATCCCTTTTTTAAATAGCCCCTCAATGCTCCTTTTAATTACAGAACAAACCACATCGATCTCTATCCGCTTCATTTATAGTGCATCAACATAATGTGATTTCAAGGGAAAATCCCAACATTTTGATTTCAAGCGGGGCCTATATATAGTTCGCTGTCGTACAAGCCGGTTTGGTTCACAATATAGACTTCACATATATAAATATCTCTCTGATCTCTCTCTCTCTCTCTCGTCTCTTCTCTAGGACTGCAATAATGGCTCCAGCGAGTACTCTCCCACCTGGATTTCGGTTCCATCCAACAGATGAAGAACTTGTTTCTTACTACCTAGAAAGAAAAATAACAGGTCGCTCAATAGAGCTCCATATAATCCCTGAAGTTGATCTATACAAGCATGAACCTTGGGATTTGCCAGGTACATATATGTATATGAATTCTTTCTAGCAACTTCTTTTTCATTGTTCTTTTAAATTGTTAATTAGTTATATTTATATAAACCATCCTATGGTGTATCTATCTGAGACGACCAGAAATAACCTGCAGACAAGTCATTCTTGCCAAGTAAAGATATGGAGTGGTACTTCTACAGTCCAAGGGATAGAAAGTACCCAAATGGTTCAAGAACTAACAGGGCCACAAGATCTGGTTATTGGAAAGCCACAGGGAAAGATAGGCCAGTGAGTTCTCAAAAGCGATCTGTTGGGGTGAAGAAGACGTTGGTGTATTATAGAGGTAGAGCTCCTCATGGCATAAGAACCAATTGGCTTATGCATGAGTATCGCCTCATTGATTCAGAACCAGCAAGTGTTTTCTCATCTTTGAAGGTATGTTTAAACCTGCAGTACTGAAGAAGAAGAAGAAGAAAGAGAGGAATGGATATATAGCGTATATATATGTGTGTGTGTATATTAGGGTTTTTGGATTGAAGGAGTAATTAATAAGAAGTTAACAAAACTGTACTTGGTTGTCATGCTAGGGGAGTCTTCTGTTTTCTGCTTCAGAAGTACAGTTGATAATGATTGAGAGAAGAAACCTAAAAAGGCACCAAATTAAAGTTTCCTCATAATCCTCACTAAGTGTACTACTTTGCTTTACAGTCTCATTTTTCATCTTTTAACAGCAATAATTTTGCGTAGTCTTAGGTTAAAAAAAAGTTAAAGATGGTGTCATAAGTCAAGTCCACATCTGTTTAGCTTGAATATAGAGTATAAAGAGTATGTTTTGAACTGTGTTGCATGAGGATCGATGCACATGGCTTTCTCTTTATGATTTTAGAACTTTATGTTGCTATGAATTACGATCATAACGATGGAAGAATTCATCAGATCCATGCACTGGAGTGATATTCTCGACAGCCCTTTATACTTTTCGTATTCACTCTTTCTAAAACCTCTTTAATTTTCTGATTCTATGCTATTATATACTTTTCTTGCTTCCGTATGTTTAATCATAAACAAACTTATAATGATCACAGGATTCATACTCATTGTGTCGCATCTTCAAGAAGACGATCCAAACCTCGGAATCACCTAAAGAAAAAGACAAAGCTAAGGAAGCAAAGAAGGAATCTGTAGGATCAGCAGAAGAGGAAGATGATACAGTTGCAAATTATCATCATGATCATGCTAATAATAAATTTCCTAATTGTGATGCTTCTTGTTCGGATCTCACTCAAGGAACACATACTGAAACTGGTATGGTAGATGATTTTCAAGCACAATTCACTTGTGATGAAGCAAACAGCGCAGCTAAGATCACGTATTCTCAGCTGGGCATAATGGAGGACCCATCAAATCTGTTTCAGGTGGGCTTCCTTTGATTTAAATTTCACTTTATGTCTTAGCTAATTAATCTCCATGGTTTATCATCAGCTTAGCTTACATATGACTTAACTGCCAAACCTTCGTTTTAAACCATTGAAGTATAAACTCTCAAAGTACAGACTTTGCATCTTTATGATGTGTCAATGAAATTTTACTACAGATTTATGTGCCGTAATTGCAAGTAAGTGGTCCACATAATTTGTGAGTTTTAGTTGGTTCTTTGATCTTAAAGTTACGGAAGTGGAAGTATGTGATGAAGCTCATATCTTTTCGCAAAGCTCTTCCTCTGAAAAATCACTTGGACCATGCTTATAGCTTTTCTTCACCATCCCCAATAACTACTTTTTGACTAGCTCACCAAAACGTTTCCAAAGTAAACATGTGTTTCCTCCCCATTTGATTTCCTCGTATAAAGCACGTACATTTCAAAATTGAGCACATATAACTTCTTTTTTTTTTTTTTGCTCAGGATATGTTTTTGTTTATTACTACCTCCGGTCCTAATTATAAGACCCAGTTAACTTATTTGAGGAGATTAAGGAAGTAAGTTAAGTTAGTTATTTGTAATAAATAAGTGTTGTCATTCCTAAAATATCCTTGCTAATTAAGTGTATTGGTTAGAACTATCATTATTAGAAGGACTATTTTGGAAAAAAATGTATAAATATGAGAAACAAAATGGATTGGGGTCTTATAATTAGGACCAAACAAAAAGTCAAATGGGGTCTTATATTAAGGACCGGAGGTAGTATTAGACTCCGACACTTAGCTTGTATCATAACGGTATATTGCAATATATATCTAACTACTTTTCCCCCATAAAACAACCAATTACCCAAGAGTATCTTGTGTATAAGCATTGGCAATAATAGTTAATGTAGTGTGAGTAAATGTGTGCAGGATATGGAGGTACCTACTTATGGAAGCATGCATGATGAAGTTGCAGCATACACAGTACCGTTGGAGCATTTGGAGATGGAAGATTTGCCTCAAATAAAATTGCCAGAGACAAAACCATCATTAATGAAGCCTGAAATAATTAGTGGCCAATGCGTTTTATATGATAAATACAAGGACTGTACCTATGGAACCCTAGAAGAGATAATCTCTCTGTGTTCCTCGACATATACACAATTTTAATTAGTCCCCCCTTTTCAATTCTACAATATTATATTTTCATTTAACTAACCTCAAAAATTTTGTGTGTGTGTGTAAAACAGCGCACATGGGAAATTGTTTTCTTCAAATGGTAAAATATCTTGAGCCAATGAGGCAAAGTAGAATCCCATTGGTTTTCTGGGATTTGTTTCATTATATTATATCATCATTTTTTTAAGTATAGGCTTACAGCATATTTGTGTTCAAAAATTCTTGGCGCATATTTTTGGAATCAGAGAGAGGAGCCAAACTAATGTTTTATACATATATCTCTGCAATTCCATGATTCATTCGATGCTTTATTTCATATATATTGCCTAGGAGTTTTCTGTTTTGAGCAGCAGTTCACGTCATATTTTTTTTATATGTTTCAGATTCATACAGTGTGTAATAATATTGGGACTGTAATAAAAAAGATTAAATAGTATGTTTGGTATAACAATCGAAAAATGTTACAGATATTTTTGGCCAGAAAATAGAAGTTACAACATTCGACATCAAGTGATGCTCCTCCGGTCCTATGTTTCGATCTTAGCTATTTATCTGCTGTACTTTAAAAGGCCTTAGTCATACAAGTTTAATTTATATACTCTTCCGGTCCTTATTATAAGACCCAATTTGACTTTTTATTTGGTTCTAATTATAAGACCCAATTCATTTTGTCTCTTATATTTATACATTTTTTTTCAAGATAATCCTTCTAATAATAATAGTTTTAGCCAATATATTTAATTAGCAAGGATATTTTAGGAATGACAACACTTATTTATTATAAATAACCAACTTAACTTACTTCCTTAATTTCCTCAAACAAGTCAATTGGGTCTTATAATTAGGACCGGAGGAGTATATTTTTTCTATCCTAAATATAAGACCCATTTTATAATATAATTTACATTATAAAATAGATTTTATATTTAAAACCTTAGAAGTAACTATGTATTAGTAGTTAGTATTAACAACGAACCTCATCAATTTGATAACAAGCAACAACCTTGTATAATCACCATAAGAATTACTTTGAGACAAAAAAGATAAATATTGGAGGCAAAATTAATTAAAATTTTACATTTAAAACTAAACTAAAACTTCAACAATCTCTTATATTGAACAGAAAAATTACTTTTTTTTTAATTTATGGGTGTATCAAATGACAAATAACTACCATTCCTATTTCATAATGTCAAAACCTTAACCTGGCAATTAGAGCAAACAGCGGCGCATATGGGTTGTTATGGCTTCTAAAGCCAGAATACTTATTTTTAGGAGAAATTTAATTTCTTATTATCATAATACGTATATAAATTCCAAAAGAATAAATTAAAATCCAAAATGAATAATACAAGTACCAGTCTTGAGAGAGACAACATATAAATTACCAAAGTCCAAATTTAAAATACAAGTTCGATATTTTTTTTAGTCCTTTTCTTCATCATCGGAAAATAAAATATATTTTTGTTACAAAAAAGTAAAATATTTGATCCAAGTAGACTGCTTAAAAATTTGAAGAAAAGAAATAAACCAAGTTTAAACAGGTAGCCAAAGCTCGAGCCAGTTTTTAGGGGGCTTCTAAGGATTGAGCCCAAAAGCCCTTTTACACCAAAAAGATAAATGAGTGGCCCAACTGGCCTGGATCCATATTCTTCCCTCTACATTTTACCCACAATTTGAAAAGAAGATTAAATAATTTGTATTATAGCAAGATATAATTATAATTAATTAAAATATTTTTGTCTTCATTTACAATTATCTTTTTAGGGTTTTCTCAATTTTATATATCGAAAAAACAATAACCTCTTGGTTTAGCATCTATTAAAATTCTCTTTTATACCCTTGTTTAAAAAAAACAATAACCTCTTGGTTTTAATCATAAACAAGGTTCGTCAGAATAATTTTTATTATTTAAATTTGTGTGTAAAATAAGTATGCTCTGGAACGAGTAAATTATAGGGAAAAAAACAGTAAAATACCCTCAAAATTATTAAATGACAAATTAGGATACGTAAATTTTAAAATTCCAATTCAGACCCCAGGTACCATTTTGGAATTTTCAAATCTTGTAAAATAACAACATTGTCCTTACTGTCGGTGACTACTTCCATATAGCTATTGACTACTCTATTTTAACTATTGACAGCTTTTGTTTTCAAAGTTTCAATGAATATTTTTATATAGCTATTGGCTACACAAGAGTAGTAAATCGCATTATTAGAGTAGTCAATAGCTTAGCAAGAGTAGTCATCAGAATTTAAAAATAAATGTAGTCAATAGCTAAAAAAGAGTAGTCAATACATAAAAAAGAGTAATCACTAGAGCTCCCCTGACCAGTCACCGGAGTTCCGGTAACGTGTCATCAAAGTTCAAAAATAAATGTCGTCAATAGCTAAAAAAGAGTAGTCAATATATAAGAAAGAGTAGTCATTGGAACTCCGGTAACCGGTCGCCGGAGCTCCGGTGGTTGGTCGCCGGCGTCGGAGCTCCGACGGCCGGAATTGCTGATGTGGCAGTATTTAAAAAAAGTAATAAAAAAAAAGTAAAAGGCATTTGTGTAATTTTACAACATTTGACAATTCTAAAATAGTACCTGGGGTCTGAATTGGAATTTTAAAATTTACCTACCCTCTTTTATCATTTAGTAATTTTGAGGGTATTTTAGTGTTTTTTTTCCTAAATTATAGTAGAAAATAAATCTTATATTTAGGACCGTCTAAGATTGATACTTAAAGGATCAATACCGAGTGAAGCTTTTACATCAAAAGGGCATGTAATGCGTGAAACACACGAGTACTTTATCGTGCGATTCAATGTTTGGTTTTTCTTTCTTTTGAGGGGAAAAAATCAGTATCTGCAAAATCAGAAGGCAGCACGTACTCAAATTTATTCTGGTTAAAGTCATCTTTGAAAAATTAAAAAAAAAAAAGTCTCTGAATCAAAAAATAAACAAAGGGAAAGAAGACAGTCACAAAGCTAATAGTGTTTTTGGAAATACAAAAAGGTATTAAAGGGTAAATTATATACAAGGCAGAAACAGGAATTTATTTTTCAAACTTTAATAACTCCTTGCCAACTTTTAGACACTTGTTATCACTTCAGTAGATCATGTACTGTTTATTTTCTTTCTTGTTCTTTTTTTTTTTTTTTGAAAAAAAAAATCACAAGATACGGGGAACTATCTGACTGACTTCGATCTTAATTGAAGGACTTTGACTACTTAAGCATAAAATTTTAATTTCATTTAGCTACGTTTTATGTCTAATTAGATCTACAGTGACTCAGACACTAACGGCTTGAGGGTTTCTGTGTGTGTGTAGTTTAAAGCAACATTAAAAGGGGGAAAAAAGTTGAACTTAAACTAAAACTAAGCGAGCAACTAAACAGTATATGGGGGATAAAATCTGATCAAAAGTGACAAAATCAATTTAAGAAATAAAAAATTATATCTTTGCCAAAAACAATAAATTATTGATTTTTTATATACTTATATTGTATCTATATATAACTACGAGATCCGTTGAATATTTTTCAACCCATATTAAAGTTAACTCTCAAAATATGACAAAAAAATAGTGACAAATTAAAACTATCATAGAGTTATATTACATAAGTTTGAAAGTTTACATCTTGATTAAGGCCAAAAAAAAAGTTTATATGTTTATTTATTATCAAGTTTTCAAGAGTTATGAAGATTATATTCACACAAATCAAAGTTTAAATATGTGCTCTACTGATCCTATTTATAAAATAGAGAGATAAATAATTTTTTGGTCCTATTTATAAAGTAGAAAGAGAACAATTTTATAAGAATGTACAATTTTACCCTTTATTTAATATTATGCTGACTTTGTTCTAATAAGATATAATGTATATTACATAAAGATAAAATTAAAAATTTATTAAATTTTAAATGATAGTTAATTAAGTTTAATGTTTTTTATGTGTATGAAACATATTAAAAATGACTTATAAATAAAATCAGAATAGTATAATCAAGCTTCTGTGTGTGTTAAGAGTATATAAATGGATATAATATAGAGGGGAAATGGATATGGTAGAGGATGTGGATTTGTGAACAAAGTGAAAAAAGATGGATACATGCATACATATGGATGTGGTTATGGATGTGGCCTCTTCAACCAAATGTGAAAGAAACTCTTCATCCTTCTTTCTGCAAAAAAGCACTTCTTAGCTTACAAGATCTTCCTCCTTTCTCTATAACTCATCACTCACTTATTGTCTTCTTCTTCTTTTTATTATAAAGGAAAAAATAAATAACTTTACCCACCTAATTAATGGATCTTTGTCTCTATTATTATTAACTGATGTAACATTCTTCCTAATATTCGCATTAAGACAAGACAAGATGGTGTGGGGAAAGCCGTCAAATAAAAAAGGATTGATAATAATGGACAGATTATGGAGTCAATTGACTACTTTTCTTTTTTAGTTTTAGTTGGGGAAACTTCACTTTGGCCCCAAAAAAAAAGTTGGAGAAACTTCACAACAATACAGCAGAATGAGATAAATAAACCAATAAGGTTGGGTCTAGTAGAAGGGACTAATCCCTCACAACGTGGCAAATCAAAATTTGAATATCTGCTGGAAAAGGTGTCCACATTTAGTACTCGATAGTGCCTCGAATAGGATTGGCTCCAATAAGAAGATACATATGCTTTAGCCAAAAAAAAAAAAGAATGAGATAAATAAAGAAGAAATTATTAATAGTATAACTAAATTGTCTGAAAAAATAAATTATAAATTTAACTAGGACTATGCTGTTTGCAATTAAAAATTGCGGGTCATCGGTTAAACAATTTACCCTTCGAATATTGGTTGGAATAGTAAAATAGCACCAATAAAAAATAGCGTTAAGGATAAAAATTAAAATTCCTATGAATTTTTTTTTTTTAACTCAAATCTACTCATGCAAGTTTGATAGTGCTACTAGGATGAAAGGAAGGTGGTGTAATGACGAGGCAAGGTTAATATTGGTTGGGATTTGAGAAAAGATTCAAAACAAAAATATGATAGTAACATTGGATGAGATTAATAGATTAGTACACTATATATATTAGCTAGTTTATATCTCAAAAGAAGATATATGTAGATTTGTCCCATTGCTTTGGGATAGGATCCATATGATTTAATATTACTAATGATCCTACCAACTCTGTATCATAAAAAATTAAAAAAAAAAAAGCTTCTTTAGCCACGTGATTATCTGTGTAAATCATGCTCCATATTTTTAATTTAATATGAATTTATTCAATTCTATAAATTGAATCACGCTCATAAAACACTATATATTAGGCATTAATTTGGCAATATTGTGAAATAATTGTGTGGTTGTAGCTATATTTAAACTTGTTGATTATAAGAATGACACAAGAAGAAGCAAGAGACATTTCCAGAAAAGAAAAAGATGAAAAGGATTACAATTAAACAATTAAGATAATGTGATTACAGTGTATCATAAACTATGCGAGGCTTATTCCATATGGTGGTGTTCTCTTTCCCATAATGGAATATGTGGGGCCCTTTTGAAATTTATATCTACTTTGAGAAAGTGAATTAATAATAATTTTGATCCATCAATTGAGAATATTATAATTTTTAGTTCAGCTGTGTTATTCATATATATAGCAACACTCATCATTTTCACAACAGTACACAATCACACTAATGTAATTAAGCAATATAATTTATTAATTATAAGCTTCACTATGTCATATAGTTTGGTAAAAGTTGCGATCATGAAATCACAGGTCTTCATATTTGGCTTATCTTGAAGAGCCAATAGAATTTGAGGCTGGTGAAAGCTACTAATCAACACCAACACTCCGTCAACTTACTTAACGAACAAGTTCGGCTATATATATAGTACGAATCGTTTGGTCCTTATATATACAAACAATCTATTTGTTAACATGTAACTTTACATTCTTCTTTAAAAGAACAAATAAATCATATATTCTATTTTTCTTTAAAAAGAACCAATGCATCAAAATGTTACCGACAGATTTTCAACGGAGTAGCAACAAAATATTCCACTAATAATTTTTATTGCTAATCCAATTAGTGACAAAATAATTAGCGACAAAAAAAACTGGTTCCATCTCTAAACACTGTCAATAATCACATTTTTTTTTGAAGTTATATTTCATGCGCATTCTGAAGCTCAAATAAATGAAGAGGATTGTGTTAAGTTTTCAATCAATAATAGTCAACGTAAAACTTTGTCAAGATTGATCTCTTCTACATGAACATAGATCAATGAAAGTCTATAAAAAAAATTAAGTGAGAGACCTTGTGCGTAACTTTTGTGCAAAAACCATCCATTTTTTTCACAAGTCACACTAACTTTGAGATGAGTTTGACTGCATATGGAGGAGGAAAGGGCAATTTTGAGTATCAATTAGGCTAAGCTGGTAACTCTCACTACTGCTACAAGAAAATTTTAAAATTTGACACTCAGTATGTATAAAGTAGAAGACACACTTAGAACAAAAGAATATATACGATGGAGTATAAATTCAGCAGCGAAATTTAAAAAGAAGCGTAATTTTGTGGGAAAAGTGGAGAGTGACGGCAAGTAGAGATGGATGGATCAAAAGGGTGGGGCTCAAGAGAGAATAAACAAAGAGAAGTAAAAGAGAGGATCAAAGAGAAACGACAAAGCTCGAGTGCCGAAGCAAATAAGATGAGAATAAAGCAAATAGACAGCCCAACATGCGAGTCTGTATTGTTAATTACATCCCCTTGCTTTAACCCTCTCTCTCTACAGATCATCTGTCCCTTTTGTCTCCCCCTTTTATACTCCTCCCTCCTCCTCCATCTCCACCCTGATACCCTCTTCTTCCTCCTTTCTTTCTGGTTTCATATAGCAGAAGAAGTAAAGTTCATCAGAAGCATGGGTTCCAAGGGAAGGTGGAGGCAGAGTTGGGCTCCACAGCCATTGACGCCATTAATGGAAGGGCCTGACCCTGAGATGCAAGAAGAAGGAGGCAAGAAAGAGAAGTCATGGGAAGTGATCAGAGAATGGTTTAAAGCTCAGAAGATATCACCTTCTGGCAACTTTGCTCAGTCTTTCTATGGCACAATTCAAGCAAAGACACAAGATTTGAGACTCATTCTTGGTGTCTTAGGTTGTCCCTTGGCTCCTATTCCCTTAGCCCATGACCCTACCCAAACCATTCATCTCATCAAAGACGTCCCTTTTGTAAGTTCTCTCTCTTTCTTCATTTCCGCAATGTACTACATTTTATGAGATCTGTACTCTATAAACTGGGCATTGATGATGGTGATGAGCGATTCAAGAACATTGTATATGTAGTGCATGGAACGAATCAGTACAACATTATTGAAATGTTGGTGTTGGATAACACATTTGTTGTTAATGATTGAAATTGAAACACAGGAAACGTCGATAGCGAAGTATATAATACAGCAGTATTTGGCGGCGACGGGGTGTTTGAAGCAGCAGAAGGAGATGAGGAACATGTACGCGAGCGGCGCCGTGAAGATGATATGCTGCGAGACGGAGATCTCCTCCGGCAAGAACGTCAAGTGCATTGGGACGAGAAGCAGCGAGAATGGCTGCTTCGTTCTCTGGCAGATGCTCCCCGGAATGTGGTCCCTGGAGCTCGTCGTCGCCGGCCATAAGGTCATCGCCGGGAGTAACGGTAAGATCGCCTGGCGCCACACGCCATGGCTCGGCACCCACGCCGCCAAAGGCCCCCAACGCCCTCTCCGTCGCATCATTCAGGTATGTATCTTCGCAAATATTCCACACGTACCTTTCTGAAATTCTTAAATTTAATCTAAACTCATACATTTATATACGCATGTAGGTTATGTGAGTAATCAACTGGCTCTAATCTACTTAAATTTAATCTAAATTCATAAATTTCTAGATTACAAAGGAGGTCTTATAATTAGGATCAGAATTAGTATTATCTACCTATAAGATCCCCATAAAAGATACTACTTCTGATTCTTAATGTAAAAACTAGTTGACTAATTTGAATAGATTGAAGAAATTAGTTAAGTTGGTTATTTATAATAAATAGGTATTATTTTTTTTAAAATATCATTGTTAATCAAATATATTGGCTAGAAATATCATTATTATAAGAACTATTTTGAAAAAAATACATAAATATAAAAAACAAAATAGATTGGGGTCTTATATTAGAATCAAAATAAAAGTCAAACAAACATTTATATTAAAAATTGGAGGTAGTGCTATATATGATCTTGTAGCATCTAATGAGAAGATGTAAGTTATCAATGTTTGGTACCACGGAATTGAAAGAAAATTTTTTTAATAAACTCGATAACGCCATTTTTTTATATTTTTTAAAATCAAACTTAATTAAATTTTTTTCTCCATTTTTTCTCCCCTTTCCTTTCCTCCATTTCCTCGTATCAAAACCGACCCTAGTAAATAAAGAGTACTAATGTGTATGTTTTTAAGGGTTGGGCTCCGTGGTTTATTATAAAATCTAAAAATCATTTACAAAACTATTAAAATTAGTTAAAAATAATAAACATATAAAAAAATCTGAATATGCTTTTATTTATTAGTGGTAGGTATGAGTGATGAGAAAAATGGAAAAATGTATCAGGAAAAAATAATAACAAAAAATATATTAGTTAAGGTAAAGTGATAAGAAAATGTATTTATTATAGTCAAACTGATGTAAAATATTGTAAAATTAAAAAAGGACAAATCAATTTTAAAAATTTAAATCCTATAGTAAGGGAATGATTTAGTAGTTTTTACATAAAATATTTTCTCATCTCAGAAAAAAATGCGAGTCAGTTTTTTTTTTTTGGGGGGGGCGACTCAAAGGAGCAATGGGAACAGAACGGTGTACCAAACAAAGATAAAGAAAGGACAGCAAGATTACAAAAATGAAATGGGAAAGAAGGGAAGCATGGGAGTGGTGGGGAAGTGTCCTTTGCTTTACCCAACATGAAAGAGTCACCCACTTGTGCTTTTTACGACACTTGCTTACCACGTCACTCTCCTCCTGACGTCACACCCCCACCTCTTCCTATTGCCTCTCTCATCTTCTCGGGATTCCCCACCACCCCGGCACTGCCATTCCCTGCTCCCTCCGCCTCGTGTTACACCCCGCCCCCCCTCTTTTCCTTTTTTTGCTGCTTTATTTGGGAAAATTACCTGATCACTGAAACAAAAAAAATAAAAATTAGTTAATTAATTTAAATATATTAAAAAATTATTTGAAATAGTGATTTATACTAAATATATTTTTTTCATAAAATACCTTTACTAATAATGTGTATTAGTTAGAATTATCATTTGATGAAACATTTAATATATACAGCTACTACAATAACTATATTAGAAAAATAAATAAATATGAGAAAAAATGAATTAAAATTACATATTTAAAACAAAATTAAATTAACTCTTATATTAATGACCGACAATAATAATTATTAAGAAACTCAAGATTTATACTCTTTATTTGTTATTAGAAACTTTTTATAATTATATTTTTTTTTGGACTTCATAGTAATTTTTCTTTTGTTCTTATTTTGAATTTAAATAGGCAGGTAACCGTGAAAGACTGTAAGATGTAATTTAAAAAATAAGTACTCTTCTAATCCTTAATATAAGAACTGTTTAATTAACTTAATTAGATTAAAAAGTTAGGTAAATTAGTTAATTATGAGAAATATGATATGTTTTTCCTAAAACACTATAATCATCTTTCTTAATATCTTTTCTCCCTCTTCTACTTGATTATGGTTAAGAGAGTATCCATAAAGGTAATTTAAAAAAAATTGATAAATATGAGAAATAGATATTATATTTAGGATTAAAATCAATTTAATAATTAGATCTTATATTAACAACCAAAGAAGTATACAGTGAGTGCACAGTAAAGTTGATCTCATTAATTTTTTTCCCAGGGTTTGGATCCAAAGTGCACAGCCAGCTTATTTGCGAATGCACAATGCTTGGGCGAAAACAGAATCGGAGACGTTGACTGCTTTGTCCTAAAAGTATCTGCTGATCGTGCGGCTGTGGTTGAACGGAGCGAGGGTCCCGCTGAGGTAATAAGGCACATATTGTATGGGTATTTTTGTCAAAAGAGTGGGCTTCTCATATATTTGGAGGACTCTCACCTCACAAGGATTGAAAGCCCGGACGATAATGATACAGTGTATTGGGAGACCACCATAGGCAGCACCATCGGTGACTATAGAGACGTTGATGGGATCTTGATCGCTCATCGAGGGCGATCCATTGCCACGGTGTTCCGATTTGGTGAGATGTCGATGCAGCATAGCCGAACCAGAATGGAAGAGATCTGGACCATCGATGATGTTATGTTCAACGTTCCAGGACTCTCCATGGACCATTTCATTCCTCCAGCCGATATCTATGACAATCTTAATTCTCCTTAATTAAATAAACTAAAAGTAGGTTTTTCATTTTTGAAAAAAAAAGTTATATTAAAGGACCAAGATTTCCCAAAAAAAAAAAGTTAGCTTAAAAGATCTTAAAAATTATATTATTTTCAAGAATCATAGTTGTTTAAGAAAAGTGTCATTAAATTTTAGAAAATAAAGCATTTTAAGCTATGAATTTTCTAAAATTTAATACTAAATTTCTTAAAACTTGATTACAACTTTGGTTCTTGAAAATAGTTAGAAATGTTAAGATCGTTTAACCCTTTTTTTTTTTTTTTTGAAGATCTGAGTCCTTTGATATAATTTTTTTCCTTTAGTTTTGGGTTTAGAAGTGTAATTCTACATTTTGGGGGAAGGTATAGTTGGAGAATATTGTGGGGGTGGGTGTATGTATGTAATTTCTTTTGTTTTTAGTTTACTAATGTAAAAGTTCCTGTAATGAGTAGTTGGTGTTTCGAAGTCAATAAGCTAAAATGACAAATTGTAAGGGAAGGTGAAATGGAATAAGTTACTTTTCTGAGAATAGTGTTCGTGTGAAAATTGGATAATTATATAAACTTGTTCTCAATTATTGCATGTGCAGTTGCGCACACAAATTTTCAATGACATTTTCCAATGGAAGAAAATTAAAATGTGCCATTTTAAATAATTTATACAGCCCTATTTAAGCATTTAATAACGTTAAAAGTTAATAAGAGGGTGTTTGAATAGAAGCAAAACCATGATTTTAAAAGTACTTTTACGGTATACGAAGTAAATATGTGGAGGAATTTATCTCAATTTGCAAAAAAATACTTTTTAGAAACACTTTTGGGTTACCCCAAACACCCCTTAAGAAAGGCAAATTAGTTTGGTTATAAAAAATTTACAATAAATGATAAATCACACTATCGATATGTACTCTTTCTTTCTGATCCTTATTATAAGACATTTTTGCAATGAGATTAGTGATCTTTATTGCAAGTCACCCCTAATTAAAGGTCCTTGGGTATGAAAAAAAATATAAGCATGAAAATATTTCATTTAAATATGGGCAAAATAAAAAATTTTATTTTATTTTTAAACAAAATCAATGATTTAATTGGGTATTTAGATAGAAACTAAACCATGATTTTAAAAGTGATTTTAAGATATACAAAGTAAATATATAAAGGAGTTTGTTTCGATTTACAAAAAAATACTTGTGAGTGTTCCTAAACACCTCCTTAACCACTTTCTTTAATTCTATTGAGTCAAATAGAGATGCCTTATGTTAAGAGAGAGGGAGTGAAATAGTACTCTATTTCATTCCTTATATTTAGGGCCTGTTTGGGTGCTCCAAAACCATAGTTTCAAAAGTACTTTTCCGCAAAATGAGGTAACCTCCTCCACATATTTACTTTGTAATCCATAAAAGCTCTTCTGAAACCATGGTTTGGTTTCTATCCAAACACTTCCTAGTGCAATAATGCATACAAAAACATGCTTAGCTTATTCTGCTCTCAACATTACTAATTAATCTTGTTTAGTACGAAACATTAAAAATAAAGAGTAATGATTGAGATTGGGATTGAAAAAAACTATTAAAGAGTGTTTAGTATGAGTAATCTTTTGTTATATGGATTATCTAATCTCATGTAGATGAGATTAAGGAATACCACATTTCTCCATGATATTTTCCAATCCCACATATATGAATTTGCCCAATCCAAATAACAAGTAATCATTCATACTAAATATTCTTTTAACATAATTTTTTAATATCAAATTCAATCATTACTCATCATTTTCAATATTTTGTGCCAAATGGGACCGTTAATGCCAGAGACACAAGTAAAAATGTTAGGTGGTGAAGGAAATAAATGGTAATAAAATGTAAGGCCTAAATTATAGTAGTGGGCTTATGGATGGCCTGATTATTCGCAGGCCCATTATCAATTTCTTGAACTGTTCTTTAAGAGGCCCATGATGATCTATGAAGTTTGTATCACTGATGCAAATTATAAACACTGTCACCGATGAGGGTTTGGTTTAATAGAATAGGTTAACTCCTCATAATACAGTAAAAGACTCCCATATTTAGTATCCAACAATGTGTTAAATAAGATTGTCTTTAATAAGATGATACACGTACTTGGGAAAAAAAAAGGTCAACTTCTCTCTTTTGGTTAATTACGAGAGTTTAATTAAACTTCAGATTTTTTTTATCCACATGTCATCTCACATTAAGTCATTAATTACTTAAGATAGCCTCAATATAAATGCCCTATTGCTTTTGCTTAATTAAACAACTAATTCACCGGCTGGTTGCTTTCTGATGTTGTTGTGAGATATCCATTAATTTCATGAATTAATTTATCAATGATAACTTCTGAATCAACATATTTAACAACCGTTCAGTGCTACTTCAAGTCCTTAAGCCATGAACTAACTAATATTGTAATTAAGAGCTGGATTAAGCCAAAACATGCGAATGCTTTGCCATTAAGCAAACCATCACCAGTGAGAGAGACAGAAAAAGCAAAACGTGTGACAGATACATAAGTAGATCTTAAGTGAAAAGCTATATATGTTATATTAAAGTAAAGATTGATTAGGGGTGGCATGTTGTCCAAATTTGAACAATGTGTACGTACTTTGGTTACTTTCCATGTATCTTCAGAGAATTGATCATGTTAATATCTCCAAACCAAAAAGTCTCTTATTAACGTTACTTGATTATGAAGCAAAGGCATGTCATAATTAAATTGAGACTCAATTAAAAGCCAACTTAATTGAGAAAAAGAACAGTGGAAAGAAGGAGACAAATTTAAAGATAAAAATTGCAAATGAAGATAACTTGTGTACGTAATAAATCTTCTATATATAATATTGCTCTTGATCAAAAGGGATTTCCTTGCCTTGTTTCTGTTTTAGCAGCAAAGCATATATAAATAATTACTTAAAGTTGTACCACATTACTTTATGCAGATCTCAGAGAAATAATTCACCAATAAAAGAGCTCTATCTCTTGAGAGACTCATCATCATCTCTAGATCCGGATTTCGTGTAGTCCTCATTGGTATTTTGTCTAGTTCAATGTTCTGCTATGTCATCTACTGTAGGCTTTACAATGATATCATTTCACTTGGCGCACCAAATGATGCAGCCAGAAAATAGTTTGATTTTCAATTTGGTCCTAAATATATGATGTCAATCCATTTTGTTTCTCATATTTATCATCCATGTTTTCTAAGGTAGTCTTTATAGTAGTTGTATATGTTAAATATTATTCCACCAAATGAGACTTGATTAACAAGGGTATTCCAAGGAAAGATAACACCTTAATTATTACAAATAACTAACTTAACAAACTTCCTTAATCTACTCAAATTAGTCAACTAGCTCTTATATTGAAAACTGGATGTAGTATTTATATTATATATGCACAGTTTAAGTTGTTAGTCTTGAGTCAAAATGGTTGAGTCAGCTAAGGTATGCTTACGTGTACTTGCCTCAATATCCATATCAGCATATACGTCATATTCTATACATAACATCGGCACAATTCCGATTTACCAAATTCTCTTCAGTTCGAAACAAATGATTAATTATTGAGGTGAAAAATCACACACTGCACTAGATTCACAGACTTTTGACCATTCACTCTAATGACTCTATAATATTACTCATCTCTTCGTTTTCTTTGTTTTCTTCTTCCCTGAAATAAATAATAAACAACAGAGAAAAAGAAGGATGACAGTTATATATTTAATTTCTTGCCTGCAGATATGGTAACTGAACTTGTGATTTTCAGTAAGCTCTTTATAAGTGTCTGTGAGAGAAGGGAAGGGAAGGAAGTGGGGACAAAAGAAGCTTCTCCACTTTACTTTGTTAGAGCATTAATATATGTATATATAACAATATATGGAACATGCACTCTTTGGGCAAAGGAAGCTTGGATCGACTCAGATATAGTAAACCCAACATATATAAAGTGTTTGAATCCATCTGCTAATGATTTCACATGAGCATCGATCTTCGTGCATGCCTTGACCACTCATGATCATAATATCAACTTCCTAGCTATATCTCCTTATCTCTTCTTTAAGAAAGACGAAAACTATGATCCAAGAAATGTGTTTCTGTCTGAATATACATTATTGATCGGACTGCCAGCAAGTATAAATAATCGATAACAAAAATTACAAAGAAGAACATATTTTTCTTCTTATCAAACACTTTCTCTGGCCTGCATTACTATCAGATAGTTATCATAAGTACGTACCTTTCTTTAACATCTATAAACTGATAATGAATAATGCCTATGAAATTTAATATGTTTTATGATAGGGGGAAAATAAAAACAAAGAAACTAAAGAAAAAGCAAAGGTGGGTAGATCTGGAGGTGCATGAGCATGATCAGCATATATTCAGCTTTAAGTGGTAAGAGTAGTAACTTTGTGCACGTAAAGATAGAAGCTTCCTCGATATGCGCACGCATGGGAGTGCGTTGTATTCTTCCTACTCTTTAGGCTTTATTAGCTTTTTCTTCTTTCTCTCATTCTTTCTTTCTTTCTTTTCTTTCTGTGAGTACTCTCCCGGTCTTAGTGGTATGAGAGTGAGGAAGCTACGGTTAACTTTCTCGCCAACTTGCTAGTGCTTATAAAATTTCTCTGCGACCAATAAAGGTATTGGCACCCACACCACCATCTTTTATTTTATTTAATTTCACAGCAAAGAGAAGCTTCATGGATCTTCAGAAGAAAGGGGAGAGGGAAGAGAGAGAGAGAGAGAGAGAGAGAGAGAGGCATGTGAGCATGTGAATGGGCGCGTATAGAGATATATGGATATAGAGACATATATATATGTATATATTATATACACACACACACTTGATTTAAAGAGACAGTTTACACTCTGGAAGGCAAGGCTAGCTAGTCCTAGGGGTCTTAATAGATCTATGAAGAAAATGCACCAAAAGATCACTACATATTATCTAAAGCAGTTGTAATATCAGTTAAAGGATTGTCTCTTGTCGTTCTTTTCTTTCTCTCTTTACATTAGATTTTACGTCTTGAATTGTTCAATCCTTTACTCTT